CCTGGGCAAGAAGAGCAAAACTCTGTCTCAGACACACACACACACACACACACACACACACACACACACACACACACAAAAGAAATGCAGAAGATCAAGACTCTCCGCAGACCAGGCTGACTCTGGTACTTGTGAATCACATGATCACGTGTTCCCCAAGTCTTCTCACCCCTCAGAGCCTCAGTTTCCTCCTCAGAAAAATGCAGATCATGAAGTTAGAGAAGAGAAGACCCGTTGGGTAACTGCCTTGTGACTCACACCTTCCAGGCATGATTTTACTTATTTCTTTTCCTTCAGAGATTTTGTCCTAATTTGTAGTTATATTCTCATGTGGGTACTTACTGGGTTAATGTCTGCTTCTAACACTGGACGTATCCACAGGCAGGGGCCATGCCAGGGTTGATGAATGCTGCTTCCCCAGAACCTAGACAGCATCTGCACAGGGCAGGGCTCAGGAAGGATATGTTTGATGAATGGTACCCAATAGCTTGCTTCTCTGTCCATCCCCTCCATCTCTACCCAGGGCTGTGTTGACGCAGGACTATGTTTCCACGTCTGGGAGGTGTGAGAATTGGACACCGGCTGGGGTGGGGGAGGAGGTGGTCAAGGGCTGGGAGCCGGTGGAGGACCTGAAGACACAGAGGGTGTCCGTAGCATTCAGAAAGGCTCTGCCCATCCTGCTTTCATCAGTGTGGGCCGCTCAGAAGAACAAGGAATGCATTTTCAAAGAAAAGGAGCAGCGCCAGAGAACACTTCAAAGAAGTGGATGGAGTGGATGGAGAAGATGAGTATTCAAGGATGAGGACGGGATGGTGTGGTTTGCCTGGGTGTAGAATAGCAGACATACGTAGAATGCTAGGGGAAGGGGAGAAGTTCCCGGGATGTGAACACAGGTCGAGGCAGGAGGCTGGAGGTGCGCAAGGAAACCCCAATGCACTTGGCCTTCTCCTGGAGCTTGGTGCTGAGACCGCTGGGCATTCTTCACCAGTGGGTGGAAGCCCTGATACAGAGGGAGGGATGGTACATCCTGACCATCGCCCGGGTCTGCCGTTGTCATGGCGACCGGTAGTGGGGAGCGTGGAGCAGGGTCTTTTGGTTTATGTATGAGTTTGACCCTCAGAATCCCAGGCTGAGCTTAGGACAAAAAGCTGGGGCCACCTGCTCCCCTTCAGGATCCCCAGGCGCAGAGGCAGTTTCAGCACCTGCCCGCCTTCCTCTCCCTGCTCCCAGCTAGCACAGCCCTGGACGGTGGACCCGGCGTCAGCACCCCTCCTGGTTCCTCACACCTGAGGGCTGACAGGGCTCAGGTGTACATCAGGCTCTCTGACAGCCTCCACCCAGTTCCCACCAAGCTGGGAGGAGCTGCGAAATGGGAAGTGACAGCAAGCACTGGGAGTCACTAAGTCTCTGTCACCACGATTTGCAGGCGGACGGAGCTGGCTCTGCACGAATGCGGCACTTCAGAGACACCCTTTACCCTGCAAGATCCACCTCGCCCTCCGCCCCTCCCTCACCCCAGATCAGGCTCAGCTGTCTCCTGGACCCTGGGCCCCCTCTCCGGGGTCCAGCTGCAGCCCCAGCCCCGCTCCAGGGCTCATCCTCGGTGTCCATTCAGAGCCATCCTTGATCTTTCATAAGGTCAGACCTCACTCCTGCACACCCAAACCACAAGCACTTCTTTACCCATCTTCAGGATCTTGCCCTCAGCATAAACAACTCTCTTCCTCGTTTGCTTAAAATTACCCTTGAAAGGGTTGCTACGAGAACATTCAACAATCATGGGGTCAGGCTCTCAGGAATAATTAACTACTCCATCTGTGTTCAATTTATTTGTCTCCTTTTATTTTTACTGACAGACTGACAGGGTTTCAAGCTACCATGACTTTCTCCAAACAGTACTGCTTTTTGAAATAATCTAGGCAATGCCCTCTTTGTTACGTGATAAATTTTGGAAGGAATCTTTCCTGAGGGAAAAATAATTTCATCCTATATGCAGGGATTTATAGCATCTAAGATGCAGGTTTGGGCAAGTCATCCCCTTTTTATGATCCTTCAAGGCCCTACAAGATAAGACACAGACTCCATAACCAGTCTACACCTGATCCAGCCAGACTCGCCATCCACGTTTTTCCAGCCTTGCCCAAGACTTTACCCTCAGCCTCTGGATTAAATTTTCTCTCTTTTTTTTTTTTTTTTTTTTTTTGAGATGGAGCCTTGTTCCATCATCCAGGCTGGAGTGCATCTCGGCTCACTGTAACCTCTGCCTTCTGGTTTGGATGATTCCCCTGCCTCACCTTCCCAACAGGCGCCCGCCACCACGCCCAGCTAATTTTTGGTATTTTTAGTAGATAAGGGGTTTCATCATGTTGGCCAGGCTGGTCTCGAACTCCTGACCTCAGGTAATCTGCCCACCTCAGCCTCCCAAAGTGCTGGGATTACAGGCATGAGCCACTGCACCCAGCCTCCTGGATTAAATTCTCTGACTCCTCCAGACAGAATAAAGTGCCCCCCAATCCAATCACAGGCACACATATGCAAGCACACACACATACACATGCATGAGTGTAAATACATATATACACACATGGGCATATAAAAGATTCACACACAACACACATATACACACACGGGCATATAAAAGATACACACATAAACAACACACACATATGTGCTGCAGCACATCCACATGGACACACGAGCACAGGCATGTATACGGAGGCATTCCCAGGTACACATCTATGTACACATCTATGTACCTGCACACACACACACACACACACACACAAATGCTCTCTTGTGGGTTCGTTTGCATTATGACACTGAGAGTTTGTACTTACTGGAGTGTCTTTGGGTCCTGGTGTTGGTCTGACCCCCCTCAACTCAACTCCTGGGCCTCAGGGAGCTCACCGTTCCAGTGCCTGCTAAGGGATCATTTAACACCTCGGTCAGTCAGGAAGTGGGGCCCCGAAACTGGTTCTGCCACTGCCTTTTGCTGTAGGACTGTGGGAAGTCCCTGCCCCATTCTGAGGTCCATTCTCCCACGAGGACAATGGATGTGGACTGGCCAGCCACGGGTCCTGCCATCCATCAGCCTGTGTGGCTCAGGAGGCAGCAGGCCAGTCCCTGTTCCTCTGGTGGGCAGCAGCTGGGAGATCCTCTGTAACTCACCAGTGTGGCCGGCACAGTCTCCCAGCCCAGCTTATTTACGACGCTTTTAGCTCCGAGCGGACCCATTTCCGAACTCCTCTCCAAGAGATCAATTATCCTAAAGGGCTGATTTGTATCACTGTGGTTGGACAATGCCTAACCAGAAAGCACTCCTGCCTTTCAACAATTTCAAGCCAGGGAGAGCTATGGATTTTTTTCTTCGCCCTAATTGAGCACTTCAAAAAGAGGGGTTGAAAACCTTCAATAGGTTTCATTTTTTAGGGAAAGCAATTTTGACTTATTAGGCACTGTTGGCTTCAGAAACATGCTCGCTAATGACTTCTATTTAAATGTTTTCCTCCAGCTGAGAGGTTTAAAAAAAAAATACAGTGTTAATAGATTCAGCATCCCCTCTATGAGTATTTTCTCACTGCAACCTGTGAACTTTCTTGGTCAGATCCTCTCAAATGGTCAAGAGAACCCAAACAGATTGTGTTAAGAAAACCCCTGGCTGGGCGCAGTGGTTCACGCCTATAATCCCAGCACTTTGGGAGGCCGAGGCAGGAGGATCACCTGAGGTCAGGAGTTGGAGACCAGCCTGACCAATACGGGAAACCCCATCTCTACTAAAACTACAAAAATTAGCTGGGCACGGTGGCTCGTGCCTGTAATCCCAGCTACTCGGGAGGCTGAGACAGGAGAATCTCTTGAACCCGGGAGGCGGAGGTTGCAGTGAGCCAAGATCTTGCCATTGCACTGCAGCCTGGGTGATAGAGCAAGACTCTGTCTCAGAAAAAAAAAAAAAGAAGAAGAAGAAGAAAGAAAGAAAGAAAGAGAAAGAAAAGAAAAGAAAAGAAAAGCGCTTTTGGAATTACTTGCAGAAACGATGACTGCCACCCATCCAGCCCCTCTTTTTAGTGCTTCCAGTGGTCTGCTACGTAGAAACATAATCTTAGATGGCATCGCTGGTTTCTCAAAATCTTTTACTGGCTCCTCATCCCCTGCAGGTCTGAATCCATATCCTCTGGCTTTGCAAAAAGAGGCCCACCCTGCCCTCATCTGGGACCACAATCCCCACCAGAAGGAGACTGTGCTGGCTGCACTGGGGAAGTATCGAGTGGTCTCCCCCTGCCCCTGCCGGAGACACAGGTTTCCCTCTTGAGCCGCTGGCAGGAAGCAATGGTGGGTGCTTGCCCAAACTCCTGGCTGTCTTCCGGGGTGCACAGGCTCCCAGGGCCCAGGATCTAGAAAGGTCCACACCTGGTTTAATGTCCTGCTCTTGCCATCTCGAAACATTCTCATTTTGCACTGGGCCCTACAAATCATGTAGCAGATCCTGCCCAGGCTCACTGTCCTCTCCTCCTCCTCTCTACCTTTCTCTGTCCACGCTGTCTCCTCTACACAAAGTGCATCCCTGCCTGCTCCTTGCCCTTGTGGTAAACCATGCGGAGGGGTGCAGGGGGCAGGGAGGCAGTCAAGCCCAGTGGCAGAACAAAGCCAGGGGCGAGGGTGCAAATCTCAGCTCCACCACTGCCAAGATGCGATGATCTCAGGCAAGCAACTTCGCCTCTCCGAGCCTTAGCCTTCCCATCTGAAAAATGGGATCATCATCATCCCTATTTCCTAGGCTGCTACAAAAACGAAGTTACAGATAATCAGAGAGCATCTGTAAGAGTGTCTGTCCCAGGGTGAGAGGGAAATGATGTTGGTCACTGGTATTCGTCCTTCCTGACTGGGATTGAATGTCCATTTTTTGGGAAGCCTTTCTTCGCTGGCCGGACTCCATCATCTGGAGTTAAAGGTCCTCAGTTCGTGCTCCTGCAGCCTCCTCTCCTGTCCATCTTACAATTGTTTCAGTATATCACAACTGCCTGTCATGACACTCTACAAGCACTTTTGTTTATAAGCGTCAGGCACTTGTTCAAGCTAGCTTGCTGGGCATCCCTAAGGTTTGGAATAGAAACTTGGAAAACCTCTGGAAAAGCAGCAATTACCCACTTTCCTCCTTTTACTTCTGCTTTTCTCTGAGCATTGGCCTCTTTCTTTCTCTCTCTCTCTCTCTCTCTCTCCCCCCTCCCCCGCCATCTGTCTGTCTGTCTCTGCAGACCAGCATCCTCCTCGATTTAGCCACAAACTTAAAAAATGTCACCCCGGCTGGGCGCAGTGACTCATACCTGCAGTCCTAGCACTTTGGGAGGCTGAGGAGGGTGGATCGTGAGATCAGTAAATTAAGACCAGCCTGACCAACATGGTGAAACTCTGTTTCTGCTAAAAAATACAAAAATTAGCCGGGCTTGGCAGCGTGTGCCTGTAGTCCCAGCTACTCAGGAGGTTGAGGCAGGAGAATTGCTTGAACCCAGGAGGCAGACGCTGCAGTGAGCTGAGATTGCACCACTGCAATCCAGCCTGGGAGACAGAGTGAGACTCGGTTTAAAAATAAAAATAAAAAGTGCCACCCCGTAGGCTTCTAACTATACCTTATGGTTCTAGCCACTGGAAAGTTGGGTCGTTCCTGATTCAGTTGCAAAGTTCTGCAGACTGAGGCTTGATTGGCCCCTGAGGCTCAGGTGCTCATCGATGACCCCGAGCTATGAGGTGACTTCACCCTCCAGCCTAACTCAATCCTTCTGCACCCATCTACCGCACACATCTATCTTTCCCTAAAGGGCCATAAAGGACCGCTAAAGCACCACATATTTATCATCTTTACCACCTCCAGAACCCAGTCCAGTGCTTGGAACATATACTGTTGTTGACGTAAGGAATAAATGAATGACGAGGGAGGGGTTTGCACATCCTACTAGAACACCATGCAATCTCACAGCTATTCTGGTTCCCGCAGGAATCCAGGAAAGGGGCCTATCCCAGGGCCAAAAGCCTCCGAGGCAGCAACTCACCCGGGAAAAGACCACCCCTAAGCCCACACACTCAGGTGGGGCTGTGCCTGGCCCCCTCGGCTGCAGGCAGAGCAGGTCCTGCTCACCTCTCCTGCTTGCACCCAAAACAGATCAGGGCTCGGGCTTCCTGAATATGCAGTGTGCAGCCTCAGAATTTAAGTTGATTTCTGCAGGAGGGAACCTGCTCACTCGACAGAATCGACACCCTCAGAAATTATTAAAGGAGCAGAAATTAAATTCACTGGGGTCAGAGGTCAGAAAATGCTGGAAACAAGGCAATCCCAGCAGAACCTTAGTTAAATGCCGCAGCTGAACGTGCTAGAGGGGCAGAAACACCGCTGAACTATTTACTTGGGCCCTAATGTCAAAGTAAATAACAGAGGACCTGTTTCACAGCCAGTGGCCCCGTGAGCTCAGGGCATAGTGGCAGTCAGGGAATTCCCAGCACTTTAGGTGTTTCTACAACCAGCACCTACTGACCCTAACTGGCCCCTACCTAGCTCCTTCCCAGAGCAGGACAGGGCCAGGTGAAGATGCAGAGGAAAGAAAAGAGTGTGCCTGCTCAGGATTCCTCAAAGGAAACCCAGCATGCTGACTGTTGGATTTACAGCTTTTGCAAAGGGCTCTGTGCATTGGCAGACTTCTAGGAAGCCAGCTGGATGCTCTTCTTCCTGAGTTCCCATCTCAAAGAACAGAGTTGAAGGGAATGTCTTCTCCCCTTTCCTGGTTTGCATGCAGAAAGCTTTTCCTTTTCTTTTCTTTTCTTTTTCTTTTTTTTTAGACGGAGTCTTGCTCTGTTGCCCGGGCTGGAGTGCAGTGGCGCGATCTCAGCTCACTGCCACCTCCGCCTCCCAGGTCCAAGCCATTCACAGAAGCCTTTTTCAAAGCTCCTCCCTGGTCTTTGTTCCTTCATCCTCTCAGAAGTGAGCGGCCACAGGAAGCGGGGACTCTACTGCTCCATCCCTGCAGGGGGACCACCTGCCCTGGTCCAGGTAGCAGAGCACAGTCAGGTCCCTCCGCCTGGCTTGATGCTGTAGTGAAAGATTTGTGCACCTCTATCTTTATTTTTTGTTTGTTTGTTCGACTTTTTCACACCTTGAGTGAGGAATAAGGTGCTATTTATTGGGGAGGTGTTCAGAGACCTCAATTTTTTTCTGCATGAATCAAAAGCTACAGTCACCCACAAAGTCAACGTATCACTTGGCCTAAGGCACAACCTGCCTGTGTCTACAGGAACTGTTAAGAGACAACCACACAGCTACACAGAACCTATCTGGACAAATGCAGGTGTCTAGAAACTACCAAGATTAAAGTGTGATGCCCAGAGTCATAGCCACAAGCTCTTGCTGCCCCTGAAACCACTCCATGTACAAATGCGACTTCCTGAATTCCAGACCTATTTTTTTCTTCCCCGGTGCATGAAATATTAAGGATTTGTGAAGAAATCCCTACCAAGTGGTACCCTGCTACTTCTCCTAGGTTTTGAACAAGTTGTGAAATAAAATAAAAAGTAAAGATAAAGGCCAAAATAACAAGTTTGTTACTTCTAGAAGCCAGGTGGAAAATGTGGCCTTGGGTCTATTAGACAAGTGGCTTCCTAGTACTAAACCCCCAAACCTGGCAGGTGTATCCACCTGGTCCCAGGCAGCGCCAGCCTGCAGCATGGAGGGCTCTGCCCAAGTGAGTCTTATGTCTTAGAAGAGCAGAGAACTTTTGCCCTCTGACTTCAGAGGGCAAAAGTTCTTGACCGAAAGAAGAAGGACAAAGCCCAGCGCAGTTATTCTTCCCAAGTTTACCTGTCAGAGGAGTCAGCATGTGAAAAGCTGGAGAAAGGTCATGTGTGCTCAGGGGCAAATCTCTTCTCCTGGGACCCAGGAGTGGAGAAAAAGGAGTTTCCCTCTAACAATTGGTAACCCTGTTTGTTCTGTCACCCAAACCGGAAACTAAGGCATCATTCTCTCCTCCTACCTGTCTACCTGTCTCCCTCACACATGACTATTTAGTCACTATATCCTGTTGATTCCAAATTTCCTTTT